ATATTTTAAATATACATAACCATCATACATGACGTATCTTGATTCCTCAATCCATAGATGTTTAATAAGGAGAGTATACACTAAGTTGCATGGTGTAGTAGGAAAGTAAAAGCCAATTTAAAAAGGGATAGGAGTGCAGCTCAATGCAGAGGTTGTGAGTTTAATCCCCAGTAGAAAACAACAATAAAAGAAAAAAGCCTCCATCAGTAGCTCAAGTTTTAGAGCTGGGACATGAACCTCAAGGTCTGGACACAATGACTTAGTTCCAAAAGCACTAAAATACGTGGTTGATACTGAAATGGAATAAATCCAGAACACAGCACAGATCCTGTCACTAGACCCCAAATACTGACATCAGCTCAGTGAACTAAGACTCAAACAACCTTGTCCAAAGTCAAGGTTGTTCTAGAGAGAAGGGAGGTGGGCTTGGGGCTCAGACAGACAGGCAGCGGACGGGCAGGGTGAGGTGGGTGACACAGCACAGGGCCCCTGTGAAGGACAGGGAGCAGGTACAGCAGGGGCTTTGAAAGAAAACTGTCAAAAGCAGGGATTGTTAACCATTGATCCTCCTACTGGTTTAAAAACACTAACGCCTAAAACGTCTTGGCGCCTGCTGTGCACTTTGGCACGACGGGAGAAGAGCCCCCGTGTGTTGTCCGTGTTTCTGTTTATAGACTGGCACACAGTGACACGGAGGGGAGGGGAGGGAGGGAGCCTGGGGGCTGGAAAAGGAGGTGGGCGCCTTGCTGCTGTCCCAGCCCCACCCCTCCCTGAGCCTCCAGTCCCTGCTCTGGTGACATTGCAGACCTGCTTCCTTTCTGCACAGCTGATGCCCTGTCTGGGCCTGTGCTGCTCTGAGGGACAGTGAGTGCTCTTGCCAAATGCCAGGGCTCAGAGTCACATCTGTTTGTCCCCCCTCTGCAGCTGTCTGCGGCTGCCTGGGAACTGTTGTATCCAGGGGGCAGGTCTGACCAGGCCTCCTCCTCGGAACAGCCTGTTTGTAAATGCACACAATGAAGAGACAAGCTCCTATTGTCTTCTCTTTAATGTTATTGTGTTTGACCACTGCCCTAGATCCTGTCGGCCCTTGTGGAAACTAGGTTCCCAGGCAAGGTGGTTCTTGCTGGGACTTTGTTTCTCTTTTCGCAGTAGTGTTTTTGTTTTATTACTTTTTCTCCTCCGGATGAGATTCCCCTCTTGAATCCACCACACAGAGGTATAAAAGGACAGCTTCCAGCAAACAACAAGATAAGCCAAGTGTAGTCTTAAAGAAACAAACGAAACAAAAAGACTTCCTTTTGAAATTTGCTTTTCTAATACTTAATAGAAAATTTTCTCAGAAGTAGTACAGGAGGAGCTGTGTTTCAAATCATAAATGATGGACAGACCCAGACACGGACGCATTCCTTGTTCGTCTTGTCCACTTAAAGACATTTTGCTTTGATTCCTTTTCTTTCCTCACTCCCCCAAGCACATAGGACACCTGAAAGCAATACACGGACTGGCCAGTGGCTGATTTCCTTACAGTGCCTTTTTCAGGAGGATCTTACTATTATCTTTCAGTAACTGAGGACCTGGCCACAGGACGTCGCTGGTCATTCTTCAGAACACCACAGCAGAAACCAAAGAAATAAAGCAAAAGAAAGGAACCATTCCAACTATCACCTTGAACAATAAGCTGGGTGCTCCTGCTTTTCAAAAATAAATGACTCATTAGATTGAAGAATCCAGAGACTGCCTTTGAGACATTCACTGGTTTTAATTAAATAACGTCACTGTCATGTTTTACATCGAGCATAACTAAATAGCTAGCTGATAACAAGAGTACCCTTGCTTATTGTTATCTGTGGCACCTCCAATGCCCTGCGGGAAGCAACAGCCGGACACTTGCCGGTCCCGGCCCGGCACCGGCCCTGTCCCGTAGCAGAGCCAATTAGGATAAAGTGCCTGAACCCAGCTGGCCGTTCACCTTATGGCCCAGATCTTCAAGTTCAGTGTTGCTGACTTTATTCCCTTTACCTTTCTCCCCTTGCACATTTCTCTTTGCCTTCCTGTGCGTGTCGGGTGGGGAGGAGAGCTGAATGGAAATGTTATATTCCATTTGCTCTGTAAAGATAACCAAAAGAATTTTTGCTCTGGCAGATGGAAAAAGGTTCAGAAGCGAGTGTTGTTCCTGGTTTGTTTTTTGCTATCTTTGTAAGCAGGCCTTCCTAATACATTTTAAATAGTGTTAAAAGAAAAAGTAAACACGTTTTGTGCAATATTGACTTGGGAGAATGATTTCCAAGCAATTAAAATGTTCCAATTCTGTACCCCTTTGGGAGAGCAGTGAATGCAGAAACCAGCAGTGCTGACGGTCACGGGAGCGGCTCCTGTGTGTCACACAGGCAAGTTTGCCTCGTAGTTATTTCTAAAAATGTGTTTCTTTGCTCTGGCTAATAAATTTTTAGCTTAGCTTGAGGCTTAAATGTATCTGAGAGTAATAAAACCCAGCTTGGTTTTTTCCTAAATGATTCAGTTGTATGCCTGGTTCATGAAGACACCTTCCTCGCCCAGACATGCCGCGAAGCCCCAGCCGTGCCCCACCGTGGCGACCTTCCCCGGTTCTCACAGCCACGCAGACCGTCTGGGCGGGAATTGTGCCTGGACAGTTGCAGACCTAGTTGGCCTGATCATCTGCAGTTTCAGCCCGGCCCGGCCAAGCCTCCTACAGCCATCAGCCCCATCCGATCCTCTCTCGCTGCTGCTCAACCTTTTTGACCCCACATCAGCTATCAGAATCCAAACGGGACATCTGCGTCCTGTGCGGCCCCCTGGTCTCAGCCTTCTCCACTCCCAGTGCCAGACCCTTTGTGACGCTGCACTCCAGACACCTCACGCTACGGACATTTCTCGGCACAGAGCAGTGAAACTGGCGCTGTCCTAGGAAATGGAAATCTCTGAAGGTCGCATTAACCCAAAAATGACTCAGAAATAACACCCAGTTCAGAGGAAGAGGCGAAGAAGCATCCGTAACACAGCAATACTGAAGTGAGCCCTCCAGTGGACGGGTGACCAACCGGCGTCCCACAGTGGGCAGAGTCGTGCGCGTACTGTTCATTTGCATTTCTCCAGCCAAGAATTATTTCTCCTTTGCTTCGGTGTCGAAGTTTAACACACAGCTTCCACAGAATTAGATTCACTGTGGTGGGAAGGCTTGACTGCAAACACAATTTCTCCATTGGAGCGCAAATTTTCTCTGCCAAGAAAACGTATATATCCATTCAACGTGTTTAGAACTATTAATATAAACAAAATCAGATCTTTTCTAGCAGTAATTAATGAAGTGTCCTGTCCCTGCTACCACCCCGTCCCTAATTATTTCAAATACAGCTCTCAGCATGCTCAGACTTCAACTTCCTGCAGGAGGAGGATGAAGGTTTCATTTCCTTCCCCTCCCCCTGTCCACACCCCTTCCTATTGTTACTACCGGTCTGGTGTCTTATGCTACATTCATGGTACAAATTAATAAATGCTTGCTGAATAAGTGAAGTAATTTTTGTACAAAATCTTGATTTTTAAAAAATTTTCTATATCAAACTTTAAAAAATAAATGTGATCATAACCATTGATTTTTCTTGGTACCGTGAGCCAATACGTCAGCTCAAAATCCAGTAAAATGCTATAGTTTTGCATGTTAATGAACATTTTGAGAGCAAAGCAGGACAAAGATGTTACCTGAATGAACTAACTTTTTTACAAAATAGACATTATTTCTAAAACAGAAGCAGTATAGACTCGATGCAAAGGCAGGGGAAACTGGGCAAATGCCCGTTGACTATGGAGCTCTGTTGGTAGACTTTCTTGGTATATGTTTCTGTTTGTGTCCCTTGGATTATTCTGAGCCTTCAGCGTGACTTTACTCTCCATGGATACAGCCTCTGTTTGAAATCACTTCACTTCCCATCACTAATTTGTCCACGTATATAAACCTCTCTGTGTGTGCTTGGTCAGTCTCTTTGTTCTTACCCGTACTGTTTTTCCTTTTATTTTTTCCAATAATGTGGTTTTTCAAATTGGACCCTTTAAAACCTCATGCTACTATGACATATCTCCATGTATTACTAAAAGAGCAGGTACTGTAATAAACATGCTTCATTTGTTTCTGCTTCATGATCCCAGACCCCGCCCCAACCCCTCATCAAGGATTATGATCCAGGAAATGAACACAGAAGCTTTCTGTAGCTTGCGAAGTTTGAAGACTTTTAAATCATTTCCACCTTTGCCTTAACCTTTGGGATTTCTAGTTGGTCCATTTAGTTTTCTTAATCTCTTAATTTAGGAGACCAAGATTAAACTGATTCCAAGCGTAACAGAAAATCTGCTTCTCTGTTCTTGTATGTCACTTCTGTGCATATAGAACCCAGTATCACTTCAGACTATTTGGTAGCAGGAGGCCAGCATTAATGTATTCCAATTATATTTTCTCACCTTGTTAATGAATAAACAATTCGAATCATATAGATTGTGAGGAGAACACCATTTCTTCTATCTATTTAAAATGTTTTAAGGGAATTCACTGCTGCATAATATCCTAAAAGAAATTGATCATACTTTTCCTGTAATAAATGCTGTTCTGACAGTAAAGCATTAGTAACCAATTGATAACCTAGCAACAATATTGTGATCTCTTTAGATAATTAATCTTAGCTATTTTCCTGTCAGAAGCAACAGTGTTTGATTTTACGTTGCGCCAGAAAGATTGCCAGTTTTGAAAATTAAAAAGCATTCCTTTTATATTATTCATTCCGGTAACAATTTATGATGGCGCGTTTAGCTGCTGAACGCTTGTCAACAAATGCAATTATGTTTCGATATAAACAAGATTGGTGGTTTTACTGTGCAGCTCCATCTTTGTGGAGAATGTTTTGATTTAGGTTCAGATTATACAAGCTGTGTATTTATGTGTCATTTTTTTCCTTCTTTGTTAATAGTTTTTTTTTTCTGATAATTACTTGTAGGCAAACAAGCATGCATTTAGGGTCCTTATGCACTGGAGACATCAAAAGGAGAAGAAAAGCAGCACCTTTGCCTGGACCCACTGCCACAGGTAAAACCAGAGGGCTTGGAGTGGAGCGCAGGTGTAGACTCAGGTCCTCCAGGGTAAATACATACAATTCTTAATCACTTGCACTGGGGAAAAGTCACAGTTGCAAGGAAAGAATAAAATAAATCATTTACATTGGTATCAGGGCGTATTACATCTGCTTGTGTAGATTTCCTAAGCAGCCAATCACAGAAATTTTGCTACATGCCTGCCCTAGTGCAAGACTCTGAGATATCAAAGGACACAGAAGCTAAGGCTCTGTGTATGTTGGGCTCAGAAACTTTTCGTCCCATTGTAAAGGATACCTAGATGAAACAACAGACAACCCCAGGAGATTAACAGCCATACGTTCACAAATAAATATAGCAGCAGCATCCAACACAAGGCCCCAAGTTGTAGCTGTAAGGAACCTGGCTTCTCAGCACGGCTGTCTGCTTTCTACCCTCAGCTCTGCTGAGGTTTACCTTTCCTTGTCTTAGGTTCACCTTTCCTTGTTTTGACAACAATAGCATTAGATTTTATTTTTTGAAATCTCAAAAACAGTGTCATGTTAGGAACATAGCATGTAATAATGTGGTCAGGGAAAAGCACCCGGGTTGAGCAGAGGGAAGTCACAGAGGGGACAGGAGGCCTTCCTGGTTGGGCGGAGACTCGAGGGCAGGGTGGTAGGAAAGGGTGTGCTGACGATGTAAGTGGGGCACAGGTGAGTCGGCGGGGAGGACGACAGCTGGACACTGAAATGCAGACAGCACCAAATACGAATTAACAGTGGCTGGCCCTGCCAGTGAACTCTGACCGTGAGTGTTTTCATGATAGCCGCTCTATCTGCGCTACAAGGAGGAGTAGCCTGGGCTCCTTGGCTTCTTAGATCTACAAAGGTTCTCTCAACTTCATTTGAGCAACCTTTTATAAGCAAGGTGATTTTAACTGTAGACAAAGAAATTGGGATTTATATCAACAGAAGAGTAAGCGGTGAGAAGAAAAGGATGTATATGTATATATTTGAGGATTGTTTTATGTGGTCAGTTTTAAGAAATAAAAGATGAGAAGCTTATATTGTCTCTTTAATAGTTTCCTGAAAAAAAATTGAATAATTGATGAGAACCATTATGCAATTGTTCTGTATAAAGGGCTCCTTTATGAAGTCACACATTTCCTTCTGCATGGTCTCCTAGGCCTGTGGAATCTTCAGGGTTTGGAATTAGAAGACACCTGGGTGAAACGTGTGCTTGTATTTATGCAGGATCGTGCTGACCACTCACTGTGTGCCAGAACTTTGTTTTATTTTATCTTTGTAACAAGTATCTGAGTGGTGTTGTCATCACTTCCCAGATGGTAAAATTCTTAAGGTGCAGAGAAGTAACGGGTTAGTTGCATAGGGTGACAGAATTATTCAGCGGGCAGGGGAGGAGCCACACTGGGTCGGTGCGGCCCTAAGCCCTCGCTCCTCCCACAGAACGCAGCTCCTCCCACAGAACGCAGCCCCTTGGTGAGATTACACGTGTGTAAAGACTGCCGTTGCATATCTTCATCTCACTCTGTTATTGCTTTCAGTTTTACAGAAAATGTGTGCAGCTATTATTACTATGTGGAGATAGAGAGCATTCCTTAAATGTTTCTAATGAATCCCTTCCTAAGGAACCGTCACTGTTTAGATCTCATAGGCGTGCTAGATCCTTCAATTCACGTTTCCCGTGAGGCAGGTACAGGGCTCCTCAGGGTCCTCCATCCCAGCAGACTGGCTCTCAGAATTATCTTGTGTCTCAGCGACTCAAACCTTCATGGCAGAAACGACATGGAGAGTCCTAGGGACGCTGAAAAAGCACGCGAGCAGCAGCTGTAAGGAAAAGCTCCTGCCGGGGTCAGCTCCGAACACTGAGAACATGTGTGAGGCGCGAAGGAAAAGGGTAGTGGTTGAGGAAACGGTAAGACAGTTACCCTGTCACAATTCAGGAGCATCTGAGGACTCACACGTAAGGAAAAGCTCCTGCCGGGGTCAGCTCCGAACACAGAACATGTGTGAGGCGCGAAGGAAAAGAGTAGTGGTTGAGGAAACGGTAAGACAGTTACCCTGTCACAATTCAGGAGCATCTGAGGACTCACTTAATGGGGGACAGGGACAAACATTAAACTTTGGCCTACAGCAGTTTCTCATCACGAGCTTACACTGCATGAATATTCCAGATGTTACATTTCCAAGCTGTTGTGATTCTTTTAAGATTCGGGATTTTTATTTCATTGCTGGGATTTACTTAAGAGATTAAATGCATAAAAACCACGCATTTTTTAGTTACCCAAAGAGTAATGGAGTAGGAAAAATATGTTACTCGTTTCCAGTGCATTGTTTTTCAAATCTATGCATAACGGTTCCTCTCATAAAGGAAGAAACTGAAGCTGTTTAAAAGTCTTCACCTTTAAGTAGAATGTCTTATAATACTAATGAATCAACTTGAAGGTGAAGACTGTTAGCCTAATTCAAATAAGAAAGGCTTTTGCATAAATACCTCATAATGAGGCTGTGAATCTTAAATCATCTTGTCCCTGAGAATCGTAATCTTTGAATTCTGGACTGTGGTCAATGATGTAATACATAGTTACATTTGTAAACTTCTAAAGTTGAACTAGCATGCGAAATTACACTCAAAAGGGTATCCTTGCTGTTTTCACAGATCCTTGCAGATCTCCCAAAAACTCACACTGAATTGAGATATATTTTTACTTTTGCCTTTAATAAATATTAAACCTAAGCTGGAAAAATACAAGAGAAGAGAACTCTCTCCTGTAAAATAGAGAGGAAGCATTAAATGAATGACAGCCTGAACATTGTCTGATAAAACTCTCTGACTTCTATGTGAAATATTATGCAATAAAGCAGTAAGTGTAGGAAAGACTTACCAAAACAATATACTATAATTAGGCGCTTCCACTTCATAATCCAAATTGGACTTGCATAACAGTTTATGACTCTCAAGACAAAGAGTTATGTATTATATTCGTAATATGTAATAATACCTTTAAAAAGATGAGTCCACCATAAAATTAATAACCCAAAATCTGATCATGTTTATGTGCTAGCATATTGAAATTTTCTCTTCTTTTAGCGACAGCATTGAACCATAATTTCAATCTCTTCAGAAGGCTGTAGATCAGCCTGTTAATGGCTGAACATTTATTAATTGTGACAAGAACGCCAAATTTATTTCAGTGCTTTAGCTTATTTACAGATCTTTCACCTTTGTATTTTGTATTGACAAAGTAAAAAGGATATTGATAAGGTTGGGTATTGATTTTTTTTTTTTAATGTGTGGCTTGTTCTCTGTCTCTATGCTAGTCACAAGCCCAAAGATAGTGGATGTCTCAGTAGCAAAGGATGTAGATTTACTGTTACAAAATTGAGAACTAGTGAAGCAAAAAGGTTTGCCAGCAGAATGCTTTTTATAGTTTGAAAACTGTCATCTGTAGAGGTGAAGAAAAGCAGTGAACAAAATAGGAGGAACATTATTTGACACTTTTTTAAGGCAGTCAGCAGTGTTGGTGGTGGTCTGCAATTCTGTTAGAAGTCATAGCTTACTGAGGATTTGAAAGTAAAAAGGTTTAAGTGCTGACATATTGTGGCTACTACTTTTTCAAAAAGGTTTTGTCCGTTCGCCAGTAACAAAGTCAACATCATTCAAAAGTATCATTGCCTGTCGCTGTTTTGCTTCCTGTTAAAATAATATTGGAGTGAATGTATTTCACATAAAGAGTCAGCTTTTCTCCTGTACTTTTGAGTGGTGGAGAAGAAGTGCCTGTTGTCTTGGTGTAGACATCGCTTCAAAGTAACTGTTTTTGTGGACATGTGCATTCTTGGCCAAAGGTGACATTGCAGCTGTTTGTGACTTTTCAGCTTTTCCTTCCACAGCCTACTATTTCAGTAGAAAAATAGTCTCTGAATATTTCCAGTAGTAAAGGCAAGTTGTATGTAATAATAATGGGTTAATATTTTTATAAGGTATGTTTTCAAAATAATTCATGCCAAGCAAAACCAGAAATGTTTGGCATATCCAACCTGCTTTTTGAGGTATTAGATTTCCTTGATTAGCCAATGAGTACATTTTTCATTTTGTTTTATCCATATCACCGCTGTAGACTATCTTATCTCTTCCAGGATTTGAAAGCAAACCTTTCTGAAGGAATTGTTAGTCATTCTGAAACCAAACTGTATCTGAATGAATAGCAAAGGCTCGGGAAATACGCAGCTCTCCATCCCTGGACGCATTTCCGGCATGTGCTTCAGTAGAGTCGTAGTAAGTAGTTCTCCATTGGCAGTGAGCATGGGGAACACGTAGGGACAGAGTCAACACACGTGGAAAATAGAAAACAGTTGCTGTCCTTGACACAATAAAGACTCAGTAATGAGAAAATTCTGAGCCTACAGAAGACCAAGAAATGCTGCCTAAATGTACAGTGATTAGCAGGCCTAAACACCTGGAGACCCTTCTGTCAGTGTCCCTGTGGGAAAGGATCCTCACCTGGGAGCTGTGTGTGAAGCTGCTCAGGAATTCGGGGTCTCCACAAAGCCCTGTCCTCAGAAATGGAAAACTAGAACCAAACCCACTCACACACATGGTGGAAAATAAGAGATCTTGTTTCTACTGGGGCTTCAAATTGAAATCTCTCTGAAGGCTTGTAATCATGAGGCTGCCCTTACATGAGTTTCTAGGTGAAAATTATACTTAGCCAAGAAATTAAGATAACACGCGGTCTGTGAAACAAAAGCAAAGCCGCCATAGACTTTGATGCCTTCAAACCAGGCACTGAAGAAGAATCTTGTGTAAAAACTTACTGAAGAAGACTCCATACAACAAAATCCAAAAATTAGTTTGAAAACCACAATAAAAGATGAAGGGGAATAACTGTGAGAAAAGACAAATATGGTAAAGAACCAAGTAAGAAATTGAGGTTATTTCATTTACTTTGAAAATAAAAAAAATCACAGAATGAGCTAAAGGATTAGATTCAGC